TTAAAGAACAGAGCATTTACTCAAATAAGTGTATCCATAAAAAATAATGTATAAACAGAAAATATATAAAAATATTTGTTAGATTTAATCTATAACCTATGATATATTATCATTTTTTACATTAGGTTATGAATTCAGAGCAGATATGATACATTGAGAAAGATCGGGAAAGCTTGTGTTTAAAAAGCAGTAATTCAAGCTTTGCTTAACCAGAAGTTCTCTGTGGCTGAATGGTCATAACATACCAGGCTTAATGGTGGTTCCATATAGAATACAGATTCGATTCCTTTTGGAGAACACACATTTTATACAAAATTTCTTGAACATTCAGGCTGGTAAATGTAATTCATACTGTTTAATTAAAGAACAGAGCATTTACTCAGATAAGTGTATCTATAAAAACTAATGTATAAACAGAAAATATATTAAAATATTTGTCGGATTTAATCCATTTCCTATGAGATACACACACATATATATATATATATATATATATATATATATATATAAAAAAAAATCGCTGATAGCCCCTGAAGAGTGGACAAACAAGTCCATCTACAAAATATGTGTATGTGTGCATGTGTGTAGAGATTTCATTTATATATATGGATAAGTTTAGAATTAGCTATTTTGAATAAGAAATGTAAAAAAGAAAATTATCTAAAATAAAATTGCAGCAGATTATGTTATTACAGATTGATGACAATAATGTTAAACATTGTTTCAGGATTATTTTCCAGAACAGATAGTGTTATACAGGTAACCTCAATAAAATCTTACAGTTAGTTGATTAGGGTAACTGAGAGAGATGATAGGGAGGAAAAAAAAAAAAAGAAGAGTCATTTTAAGAAAAAAATAAGAATCAATGAACTTTCACTTTATTCTAAATACAATTTATAGATCGGAACCAATGCATTTATCCCACCACCAAATTCTCTGTACACTTTAAAAAAAAAAAAAAAAAGGAATTACATAAACAACTTCTTTGATTATTATAGTCCGTGTCTCCTAAGCCCTTTGTTAGTATTGTATGGCATTGTCACAGCATCAGTAATGTGGAGTTTTCAAACACCCTAGGTAAAATATAGATATATCATTTAGTTCTTAATTTTCTTATATATTATTGAGTTTTCTTTCTGGTCTTTGTAGGATAAATGAAAATGAAAATAAAAGAAAGTGGGTTATTTTGAAAAATCAAAAGGATAATATTTAAAAAAGTTTCTAAAAGATCAAATATACAAAAATTAGTTTTTCATTTTTCTTTGACTTGCCACTTGCTAAATATTAATGAAAAACCTTTTTGTGGGCTGTTCAAACACCCTCCAGTATTAAAAGGTTAAAAGCTAGCATTTTACAGATATTGAATTACTCAAACAAAAATATCATTACATCAATCTGACTTGCCTCATAAAAACCTGAAAGATAAAATTGAATTATTTCAGTTTTGTCTTTCACTGGTTTATGATTTAAGAAAGACTGATAGAACTTTTCCAATTCCCACTCACTTGTTCAGCTCTGATTTGCATGCATTTACAAGAGACATTGTTAATGACATTGTACAAAGATATATATCATTATAGATACATATAATTGGGTTACATTATTAAAAATACTTTTTAAGTTGACTGACCACGGAAAAGGCCAAAGAACATGGTTCATTACAAATTCCTATGCCAGTTTGCTGATAACTAAAACCAAACAGGTGAAATAAGTTTTAGTCCATTATTAAACTAATTCAACTGCTACTAATCAATTACTAATGCAAGTACCATGCAAGTACCTTCCCTTCATGCAATTTTCTTTTTTCTTTAACACAATGAGTAATAGATGAAAAAATAGAAAAAGCAAGAGGAGAAAATTGACTCTGGTTTTTTTTTTTTTTTTTTTTATCTAGCCATTCATCAAATCATTCCAAATGAAAAGAGTTATCCATAGTTTAAGATAATACTGGAATTCTGTTTAGATCATAAAATAAAAGTGATTTAAGAAAGGATAATTATAGTACACCGATTTGATATCTACATTAATGTCATCAGAGAATTATAACATTCCTATTTAGGTAATTTATGAAAATGAAATTTTCTGGTTGAATAGCGATAATGAATTTTCTGGTTGAATACTGTTAAAGTTATTGTGTATAATGACAATTCAATGGCAGTGTAATAGACATATCATTCGATCTGAATAATTTAATATATTACTTCACTTTCTGGTTTATATGCTACTTCTTGAAAAAAAAAAAAAACACTATTTTTTTCTGTGTCAACAAATGTAAAAGTATTAAGTTGGTGTACAATTTTATTTCTGTCCGAATTCCTGGAATTGGGAGTTATTATTTTTACAATTTACACTCAGATTATTATCCTCATCTTTTTTGTTATCAGAATGTTTCAAATACATATTGTTCATGAATTTGATGATATAATAATTGTGAGTTCAATTCCTGGACCGGGCTGTGTGTACTTAAACTCAGTGGAAACAGAGCAAGTAATAACTGAACAGTACTAAAAATAAGAGCTAGACAAGATATCTCTAGACATGGACAGTGAGATGAGAACAGTCTACACCTTTAGATTAAATAAAGGGTTCAGTTTGAAATTCGCTATAGGTGACCCAGATCAATATACACCTGATGGAGGCCATGACAGCTGAAATGTGATAACAGCAACAAAGATGAGGACAACAGTTCGAAAGTAAATAGTGTAAATAATAATTTTATTACTAAGAAAACTGCTATTCCTAGAAACCTGCAAGTTAAATATTTTTGTGTATTCCTATAGTAGAGAATACTTAACTTGGAACCTCAGCTAGTTAAGTAGGAATACAACTAATTTTAGTCAATTAGAAATGAGGTGAATATGACATGATTAATATTAATGTATCTACAAATGCACTTTCCTTATAAGCAAAAAAAGATCAAATCTTTTCAGCACATTCTACCAGCATATGTCAATGACACATGACTAATTTCACAAATTTCTATTTTCACAAAATAAATTTTCTACACGAGATCAAGAGAAAAAAAACTCAAAACAAAAAAGCTTATAGCAAAATATGCAAACTGCCTTCATGTGATAAAAAGTAGTAGAAATGCAAAATGCTGGGCACATGCACCAGCACAACTGCAGGCAAAGAGAGTTTTTTTTTTTTTTCTTTTGCTGCCTTTACTACATCAGAACCAGCAAATTCTGTCTGGTTACCTGATATCATCATTAAACCAAAATGTTAATGTTGAGACACAGCTGGCCAAAATGGATTCAAAGCTAAAAGGAAATAAAAACAAAAATTTAAAAAAAAATAAAAAATTACATTATGCAAGAAAATGAAATCTCAGAAACTGAAGTGAAAAAAATTTATCACAAGCAAATACACCACAATTAAAAATATGCGTATATCACTCGCACAAATATTTGATTTAAAAAGTTATTTGTGAACATTCAAAATTGTTGTTTATATACGAGGAGCTGATGGAAAGTTGTCATCCTAAACAATAATGGGGTTCAAAAATAAATTCTGATATTTAGTTGGAGTTTAGGTAATGGTTCAGGCCAAGAACTTTTCAGCATCTCCTTTAGTTGTTGGTAGTGGTATTTAAATTTCTCCCCTATATTCAGCAGTGTGACAGCAGTAATTTAAAGGATTTATTTTAAAATTATAGTCTATTCCACCAAACTTGTGAAGCAACAAATTATTCTACTTTTCGAAGGAAATAATTGAACATAATTTTTAAGGTAAACCTGTTAAAAACAAATTTGATTAAGAACAACAAAAATAAGAAAGCTAACGGAAATGAAATCTTAAGTCACAACAAGAGGTTCATCTCAAATATCATCTAAAATGTCATAATTGAGTAGGGATTTTTTTTTTTATTTCTCCAAGAAATCATTTAGGTAAAATTCAGAATTAAGTCGTAAAAGGCCAAAATATTTGAAAAGTATGAATATAAGTATAAATGTAGAAACAATGAAAACACTAAGTATTATTAATTTATAGTTTCTATAAATTTGAGTTTGTAAAATAAAGAGACCAATTAGAGATGTAAACTGACCAAATGAAAGACGAAGACTTAATAACAATAGTGAACTAGACTGACTTGGTGGGCATCAAGATTCTGCATTTTGAATATATATATATATATATATATATATATATATATATATATATATATATATATATATATATATCAGCATCCTTTCTTTTAAACATCTTTTGTTAAATATGGCAGAATTTAAGAAAGATTTTTTTTTTTTTTTTATTTAATTTTTCCAGTGTCTTTATGTTTTCCCATTTTGTAGGAGTAAGGGAGTACAAAGTGTTTTCCATATTCTTCATTGTCCTAAGTACTTTCAGCCAATTGTTTAGCCATTTTCAAAAGTGTTTCCTTTTTGGTCTTTTTAGTTTTTGCTTATGTTTTGACTGTTTAAGTTGTTTTTTTTATTTTTGTCCTGTTTTGAATAAGAGTGTTTATTCCTTTCCTATTCAAAACACAAAAATAAAATATAATTTAAACAGTCAAAACATTAGCAAAAACTAACACCACCAAAAACAAAACCCCCTTGAAAATGGCTATGAAGGTGGGCGAAAGTACTTGGGACAATGAAAATTTTTGTACACCCTTACTCCTACCAAACAGAAAAACGTATGGATGCTGTAAAAAGTAAATAAAATATTTTTTTATATATATATATATATATATATATATATATATATATATATATATATATATATATAGGGAGAGAGAGAGAGAGTTACAATTTATGAGACTTTCATTGTGCAAAAACCATTTAGTATGAACTTATAACAATAGCCCTGTGCACATTTTGAAATAAGATATAACATTTTGACTGTGTGTGTGTGTGTGTTGATGATTATTCATCATGAATGACATTTTTAAATTTCTTTCTAACAATACACTGTAATATTTTCAATAATTAAAGGAACATAGGGAAATATGAAATAAACATAACACATGCCTGTTCTTTAAGATAAGATCAACTTACCGCTGACTGCCAGAAGTAGACTCTATAAATTGAGAGTCTTCATCTGTTTCATGAGTGCCCGTGAAATGCAGCAGTTTTAACAGCAGCTCCTCCTCTAAATGTAACTTCACTTTGCGTACAGAAATGATCAGGTGCTACAAACAAAATGACACAAAAATTAGATTTTAGACAGCTCACAAGATGGAATAAAATTTTCTGGCTTGCATTTTTGGATTAACAAACAAGTTAAAAAAACTGTCTTTTTGTCACTTCAAAGAATTTGTATTAAATTATTATTCCTTTTCAAGTGGTATATCTTTCATCTTATTATTCTTGCTTTTATTGCAACTCTGACACTTATCAAACAGAAATAAATACAAGTCAAAAATTAATAATTAACAATGTTGCATGTCTTCTTTTATGTGCCCTCTTCCTTCAGGATGTGGGCAATTATGGCTCTCCACAACTTCCTGTATAGGAAAAACCCCATTTCCAACATAATTACATACACACCATATGAAAACATGCCCAAACTATTTTCCTACCCAATAAAAAACAATATTACAAAAATGCCAAAAATATTCCACAACACACCATTTAAATCAAAGTGTCTATTGGTTACAAATTAACATCACCATGTGAAATATTTGGTCAATCAGAGAAAACTAAAACCCTATTTTTCTCAAGCATACTTTTGAGAAAATTTCTTATAGAAACCCACAAATTTCAATTTACAGGGAGCAGAGATGTAACTGTCTCCAAGCTATTCAAACACAAGAGAAGATGTGGTTACATAGCTCCCTCCCCACACCAGTGAGTGCTGAAAAACATGTATTGGTGACTTCAAAAGAATCATCTCCAGCACCAGGAAGGATGTCAGTGAATCTCTTCTCTAAATAAAAGTCTTTTCTCAATCACAGCTTTTTACTGTGGCCTAACTACTAAAAGCCTTTTCTCGACCACGGATTTTTCTGTGGACCAACTACCCAAAGACTAACTCAACTAAAAACTATTTCTACTTATTTTTGAATTCATGTACAGATATTAGTAAATACAAATGATTTTTTTAAACAAGCATACACATATTTTTTTTATTTTTTATTGTTTGGAATTCAAATGTTTGGATTTTTAATGCAAAAAATCCCTGGACAACAGACTTTCCTACATTAGTAATTTTTGTCGTCTCAATATCTCTCCTAATCCCTGTTCTGATAACCATTTACTAAGTAGGTTATTCTCTACTTTCCTATGCCCTTCTTGCCTTCAACATATTTCATATACTAAATTTGAATGTGTATTTGCATTCTTTATAAAAACATCATGCTAAACTATCAACTGGAATATATTCTGTAACAGAGATAATCAATGCTGATTTTTACCCTAACATATAGCTATTTTCTTTCCACAGTTCAAAATAATTTGCTTATGTATTAAAATTAAAAATTAATTTCTGAATTGATAATAATTTTAATATTTTTATTTTTAAATTTCTGTGAAATTCACATAGTTGAAATTGTCTGGTCAACTTTTCTATAGCAACAAAGTAAATCCAGCTTCTTATATTTGTAACAGGTTGGATGTGCAGGTAGTGTAATGGTTATCAGCATGGAAAGTAGAAATATTAAGCTGAATTCAAATTCAGGTCAATTCAGTTCTGTTCACTTTGCACTGATGCTCTTGGAAAATGAATGACTTTCTCCAGCTATGGGTTAAATAACAGGGCAGACACGGCTCTCTTGCCTTAGATGACAGCTAGTCTAGAAGGAAAATTGTATTCAAACCTGAGGAGGGCTGTTTGGAGACTTGGGGGGGGCGCACTTCTGAAAAGCATGGGTGCTTCTACACAAAGTTTCACCATGAGAATAAAATCATCTCACTGAGTAGTTTAGCAATTCAGTCCTAGAAACTGAACTGTTTGGTCCTTATACATTGAAATCAATAGAAGAGTCCAAATTTGTAACTTCTCTTCATACTTACACAAAATTCATTCATAGAATCAAAAAGATGGCAGTATATAAGTGTTTTTCTTGTATCCTTATTGAATAAGGGAAACTTAGAAGTTGTAAAATAAAACAATGTTCACTTTAAAATTTTGTTGCTCAAACAGGATAGTTAATGCTATGAACTTAATTGGAGAGTTGAGTGTTTTTTTTTGCTTTTAATTGCTCCGGACAAAACAAAAAACCTGTTTGAATAGTGAATCATAAAACTAACCTTAAATATTTCAACATTCCATTGTGATGGATTTTTATGAAATGCCATGTGTAAAGCTGGAGTATTATCTGGCATGTCTGCCTTGGAAGGTGCAATGGACAAGAGAACTGGACGTTGAGCACTAAATAACTGGTTGTCAATCTGCAAAACAAAGAGTGAGATTATTTACGAACATGAAGATCTAATAAACAGAAATGTCTTCTATAATCTATTGAATACAAACATTTTAAAGACTTATCAAAAATGCAAGGAATGGTAGGTAAAAATTCTATTTATTAAAAAGTAAGTTAGATTTTTTAATGAAACATTAAAGACAAATTTAAAGGAAAAGAAATAAAAATAAAATTACTTCAATGCTTTTTTTTTCTTATTTGAATATCAAAGATTAAAATATGCTTGATGATCATTTACAATGTTAGGTTATGAAAAGGGACATTTTATTTTAATTTTAGACCATTTTATATATATGTGGCATCCATCAGTCTCAAGACACCTTGGATTTTCACCCAAGGAGTTATGCGTCAGTTGCTGATAGGGGTGCAACATGAGTTATGGCTATACAGGCCTCCACACAGGGACTGACAGTCTCGATTGCAACGAATACATGTGAAGATGCTCTATCCCTATGTCACCTTGTTGTTTTCTTTCTGTCAAGCTTGCTTCTCTGCGGTGGCAAGCTTTGGCTTCTCCTCTCCTCACTTCAACCCTTGGTGTAAATCATGTCTCCAGTGTGAGCAATCATTAGTAATGTCTTCCCACCTCTCGATGACCATCCCCCTCATGTCCCTTTTGCAGAATTCCTTGAAGCAAAGATGAGGTTGCCCTCATGCCGGTGACCAGTTCCCCATTTTTATATATGTGTGTGTGTGTGTGTGTGTGTGTGTATTATAGGCTGTTGCTAGTTGAGAGAGATCATCTCCAGAAAGTCTGATAGCAATCTGACTTAGCCCAGCCCAGCATCTGTAGTCAATGATCCCCAAACCATGATGGGATAGATGGTTATTCTGCTACTCCCAAAATACCTTGGAACCAGATAATGATTTGACAAAGAGCTCTTTTTGTTAATCAATTACCTATCAACCTTCTCCAAAAGTATTTCACCTTTTTCCTGTTTTCTGGTTGTATAGTATAAGCAAACATTTGACTTTCTTCTTGGTAACATTGTACTTGTCAGTGATTAGCTCTTTCTCAAACTTTGGCAACTTCATATAAGCAACAAAACACATGACCCATGTTTTGAAACCATCATTTCTTATCAGCCTTTTTCAGTCATGTAGGAAAGCAAATGAGACTTGGTCAAAATAATATTTGGATTTCTGTTTGGCTTTTTTGTACTTTTTATCAATTGTTTTTTTCAAAAACTTTGGCAGTTTTATGGAGCTAACAAAACACATGACCCATGTCACAAGTAGAAACTCATTCATCAACCTGTTTAGACCCTGGAGGAATGGCAGAGGTGATCTGTATTACTTATGATTTTTTTATTGGATTAATTCTAGGTTTGAATCACCAGCTAACATCAGGCTGATTATTTATTTCTCAAACTTCATTTTTTTTTAATATCATTTTATTATTCCTTATTGTTTTTCAAGGTTGATTATATTAAATAAAAAAAAAAAAAAAAAAAAAGAGAGATATAAAATTTACAGTCTCAGAGTGTGGGGACAATTTTTTTTTTTATTTTAGCAATATATGAATTTCTGTGTGTCTGGTCCACTTACCAATATCTGGGAAACTGGCCAAACATTAGAAATTTATTTGGATTCCTTTCTTGGTAGGACTGAACTTTTCAACACTCTTTTCAAGTGTGTGTGTATATAACACACACAGATATCTAATTAGCTACATTAAAAGAGAAGTATTAACACTGACATTATCATCTTGTCTGCTGTGAAAAGAAACACTGATCTAGTTCTCTCCAAGGAAGAGCAAATGCTTAAGACATTTTTTCTAATCTATTACAAGGAGCTGCTGGAAAGTTTCTGGGACCAAGTCACTTCCCAAAATCTGATCAAACATTTTGAGGGAAAGGCATTCTTGTTTGGGCCAATAAAAACACCCCTGGTATTTTACACCCTCTCATTTCTTATTAGCCTTATTCAAAATAATTCCTTTTCTCATCTGCCCTCATATGGTGAAGTAAATATTAAAACTTAACCAAAATAATATTTGGGAGAGTGACATTGATTTTTTTTTTTTTTTTGCAATGATAAAATTTATACAAAAGAATCATTTCTCATGAAATTGATCTACTTGAAGAAAACAGAACATGAAAACCTACCTGTACATTACCAATGCTACACTCAGTAATAAGAGTTCCCTCTTTGCTGCAACACCGGATATCTATATTCTTTAACAAGATATAGACTAGTTCTTCAGGAACACGGTTTACTAACGAAATCCCTACACCACGAGGCAAGTTTATTACACCCTGAAGTGTGATCTGTTTAGGGAGAAAAAAAAAAAAAAAGCAAAAAAGATGCTTAAATTAAAATATACATGACACACATTCATGGACAGAAGTTTTTGAATGCATTGTATTCAAGAAGTAAACATAAGATTGCAGATGCCAATTTGTTTCATACAATTACATTTTCAAAAACAAAATACATCTAGTCATAATTGTAAATTACATTTAAAATTATTATGATTTAAAATTACATTTAAAATTAGTATTATAAAGTAGAACAACTTATTTACATTTTTAGTTTTTTTCCGCCTTTTTTTTGAAATGCAAAAACAAGGCCCACATTTAAAAATATATGGGGGAGGGTGCTGAAAAGTTCTCCATATGATCAAGAAAATCCCAAAATTTGGAAAGCAGAGACAATAGCTTTTTCAGCACCCCTTTATATATTGGATATATCACATATTAAAAATACAACACCAAATTAGTTTATGAGATTGTCACTGATATCTTCATTTGGTATCAGTAAAATAACAAAGTTGAAATTAAGAAAGAATTCAATCTTATTACTGAATGACTAAAAATAATCCTTCATTTTCTTACTTCAATTATTTATAGTGTTAAATAAAGAGTACCAATTTATTTTCGATAAGTAAATCTATAAAATTATACTTTTAATATTAAGATCAAAATAAAAGTCTTGAAATTTCATATGTACATTCTAAAGTAGAAAATTACATGTTATACACTCAGTATTTACACAAAGATATGTATGTGTGTATACCTTAACTTTAAAGATATAAAAAAATATAAAAGTTTTAAAATAAGTAGGAAAATTTCTGGGATATGCATTATTTTAAAACTTAGAACATTTTGAACATTTCCTATAAAGATTTAAAACTGATATATACAGTTTTTATGAAAAATAAGGATTTAAATCAAAATGTGACATTTTTTAACAAGAAAATATCTTGAATATTTTTAAAAACTCTATATACAGATAAACATGATCAGTTTTAAATTTTTTTTTCTATTATTTATTTATTTTTTGGTTGGCCATGCAGGCAAAAAATATCTTGTCTATTCCATAATTTTTCTTGGAAAAGATTTCAATTATAAAAAAAAGAAGAAAAAATAGAATCAAATAGGTGGTTATAATTTGATAGCAATACAATGGATTGCTTGCTTTGAAATTAGTATGAATCATACTTATTATAAAACCCAGGTGTGTGTGTGTGTGTGTGTGTGTACGCTTATATATTGGATCGGATTTCCTACATTTTTCAACCGATTTCAACAAAACCTCCCAGGACTAAGTAAAATTACCTTGCAGTGGTTCTGACAGTGCCAAAAATTGGAAAAACACAATTGTTTTTGCACAAAATCAATTTGAAAACACAATTAAGTGGCATCGCTTTCACGGAATGAAAGGGGGACAACTCATATCGAGTTATACTTATTATAAAACCCAGGTTGTTTGTGTGTATTCATTTATATATGGAATAAGATTTCCTACATTTTTCAACTGATTTCAACAAAACTTCATTTTTTTTTTTGACAGGTAGTGTTTCTTATTGTCTTGCACACTTTTTTCTTTATTTTTACATTCAGAATGCTTTAAAAATTCCACTTACAAGACAATTGTTTATAATAAAATTCTATTCAATCAGTAGACTCATAACGATTGAACACAATGTTTTTGTTTGACAAATTCGTAATAAAAAAAAAAAAAAAAAAGAAAATTAAGACATGCACGTCCATCAACCTTAAACAATAATCTTTGTCAATTTTATTTTTCAGTCTTTATGATGGTTGATACTTGATCTATCTCTTACTGTTACATCCCCAGGCAATGCCGGGCTCTACTGCTAGTCTTTTATAAAATTGTTTACTGATTGTCCCCTATTGATAATAAATATAACTGTAAGTTCTATGCTAAGAATTTCTGCTATTGCACTTCTTGCCTGTGGAACTCTTTTGGCTTCTTGCTTCTTAATCAACTAAGATCTTCAAAAATTTCAATGCTATGTCAATTGTCATCTTCAGTTTCCTTAATTCCTGTTCTTTTTTGTTCTCTCTCCTTAATGTTTTTCTTTCTCATATTCTTTCACACTCAGTAAACTCTTGCATTTTAGTGGCTTTATTGCCTTGCTTGGTATGAAATGATAAAAAAAAAATTAAGCATTTAGCAAAGAAAATTTTGATTAACAATCAATTATCCTATATAGCTTCCCAGTATATAGCTGTGGTCAAAGGTTTTTAAACTTTGACATTTAATTTATAGTGCCATCCTATTTTATTGCCATTAACAGACATTATCAATATGAATAGAAAATTAGCTGTTTCCAGAACAGGTAAAACAATAAATGCTGAAACACAGAAATATGTAAGTACATATATTTATATACTTTTCTATTAAGTTTTCAATTTGATGAAGTACTTAGAATTTTTATGTTGTTTCAGAATGGTCTTGCAGTTTTCTGATGATGAAAACAAACATTACTGGATTTCAGATGGTGGCTTAAAATAATAATCTTGATTATCAATGTTTTCATCAAATACCAGAACAGAAAGAAATACAAGGCATTTTACCTTTTGTTTTTGTTTCTGTTGTTGTTCAAGATTGCGTTTGAAGTCAGAGGGTGAATCAAGAGGATCAATTACATGCCAGTCATCTAACGTTGGATCTGTAACACTGGAATGCTGCAAAAGACAAAAGAATTTTAGGAATTATAGCTTTGAAACGATTTTTATCTTCACCAACAACTTTATATAAATAGAGGATTTATTTTCAAAATGACATTGCATATTTAAACAGTAATAAAAGAAAAATTATCAAGGCCCATCAATATTTTGTGATAGCAATCACTTTTAAAAGAAAAAAAATAAAATTTGTAAATTATCAAGAACATTCATGATGAATTCTGAAGCTGAATCTAGAAATACAATTATTCAGAGTTTTTCCCTGTTAGTGAAAACCAATCATGTTATTGGACTGACTGTCCATCTCAATTTTTGTAAATTATTTCAATTCAGTGGAAAAAAATAGAAAGCAACTAATATGCTTTGTGGCATTCAAAATCTTATAACACAAATTGTTTATTACTAGACAAGAACAATTTTTGAAACTTTGTTCATAAAATAAAAACTATACTAATTTACTTTAATTACAAAACTGAACACTATTATTTCATTTTGCACCAAGTTACATCTGGTTATTAGTTAAATTCCCTTTATTGTCTGTGTGTCAATGCTACTAATTTTAGTTTCTTTTTGGTATTTGTAATATGGATAGGAATGATTAAAAAAAAAAAAAATCAAGTTTGATTTAAGTCAAAGTTTAAAACAAATCAGCAGTTAAGTAGATTATATGATGTTTCAGTTTGCAATTTTTGAGGTTAAAACAGTAAAATCTTTATTAACAAGTCTCTTTGTCAACCAATTTATCAAGTTTTACTTACAAATTTATAGTAGATATGGCTGCCGTGGCATGTAAAGTCAAACTATGAAAACATTTTCTTTTCATACTTTCCATTAATAAATGAAACTATATAAAAAAATTAAGTTAAAAAAATGTATTGATTTATGTTAGATTTGTACCAACATCCAAAGTTCTATCTCTATTAGATGACTTCAAATTATTTATTCCAATTGTAGATTTATGGAAACAGTTAAAAATGAATTGATAAATTTGAACTGAACTGGAAAGGAAAAAAAAAACAAACAATTTTATTCCAAATGATCTAAAACTGAAAATTAATTTAACATACTTTAGGCTTTGCTGGTGGTTTTAATAAAGTCCTTGTCAGTTTAAAGATTAATACTGAATGAAGTGACAACAATGACATATTATTAGTTTTCTTTCTAATAATTTCACCCCCAAGCAAGGCATTGAAGTCACGAAGATGCAAGGGATTACTGAGTGTTCAGAGAATATGAGAAAAAAAAAAAAACACTATTAAGGAGAGGAAACAATAAAAGAACAAGAATTAAGACAGTAGATAATGATTAACATTACATTTTGATTTTTGAAGATCAAAGTTGACTGGGAAGCAAGAAGCCAGAAAAGAGTTCAACACGTGAGAAGTGCAATAAATAAATTTTTAGCATAGAAATTAGTTACATCTAGCCATCTCAACTGTAAAATGATGAGACTTTGCTGCAAATATAGTACTGCATTTAAATTCATAAAGTCTAGCTACCATTGAGGAAACAGATAAAGTTGTTCAGTATATGAAACATTTTTAAACAATTCATAAATGGAGCTGCTAACAACTTCACATACATACATACACACACACACATATAATGCAAACAACTGTTATAGAATTTGATTGTAATAATATTACATAACATCATGATTAATAGGAGTAGATGGGTTTGCCTATCATCTGGTTCACACTGCTCCATGGTCTTTTGAAATGAAGCAGAGATTTATTCTTTGTTTTCTGTTTAGGATTGGGTTTCTGTTCCCTTCTAAAGTCTAATTCAACTCTATACTTCTAACAACTGGCTGAACTGTTTTTTTTTTCTCTCTCCTCAATTGGAGAAGACAGGTTCACCTATTGTCCAGTTCACACTACTTCCAGGGAATTTTGAACAGGGGTAGAGATTTATCCCTTGTTTAGGATTGGTTTTCTGGTTCCTTCTAAAATCTTTTAATTCTCTTTCACTCCTGGTAGTCCCTTGTGTCTCAGTGACAATATTCCCTTGCTTGGGGTGGATTGTGTGTGTGTGTGCATGAAACAATGATTGATTTGTGTATATGTTTAAGATCATCTATCATCAGTGGCAAGTTATATAAAGATTGTAAAAAAAAAAAAAAGAAAAAAAAAAGGTAATAATTTAGTCTATAATCCCAGCAAATAAATTTAGAATATTCTAACTGTAAATTTTTGTTAAGTATGCATTTTAAGATAGATCATTATACTGGCCCAGAATAATGACAACAGTGATTTATAAATAGTACTGATAACTTTGTTACAATTGTTTTAAGGCATTAGTATATAGATACTAATTAGGATTAAAAAGTTCCAATCATAAACATACAAAACAGTGTGCAACAAAACACCTTTTTCATTTATTTATTCATGAAAGGGTGTTGAAAAGTTCTTGACCCAACCAAGAAGAAATTAGAAGAAAATGGTTAGCACCAAGAAGTTTTCAGTACCCCCTCATATTTTATTAAACAATTAAATTACACATGTAAAATTCACAAAAAAAGACTTGCTGAAGATCTAAGTGGCTATCACAAGGAATTAACTATTTTTTCATTAATTCCATTTGATTGATTGATTTTTTTTATGACTTATCAACCTTTTCCAGGTTATTTAAAGACAAGAAAATATTTTTTTTTAGATTGTAAGAAAGTTTTAGAGATAATGATTCTACTAAGTCCTACTAATTAACCCATAGCTGGGAGGAGAAGAGGTGAATGCATACCTTTCCCAAGGGTCTGGAATTGGAACTCAGCTCTCAGATTTCCAATTCTAAGCCATTATTCATTACACCACCCATACATCCAAGATAACAGCACTTGGTATTCCCAAGCAGTCACCCATCGACCTTGCTTAAGTTTAGTGATCATACTAGAATCAGCGTTTCAACATGATATGGCTGTAAGCCTAATTCCATTTGAAGAATTATATCATTTACTTTAACAGTATTAAGGTTAGGTAATAAATATTAAGCATTCAAATATGAAATATTATTTATGAGGGATAAAAGAAGTCATAAAAAACCTCAAAAGTTATGCCTGACATATGAAACATAAAAATATCAATCTTCAAAAAGCTCAATGAGAATTTAGCCCTTTAAGACCAAAAGTATCCAAATCTTTCCAAAAGTTTCACATGTTTATAGTCCACAACCACCTGAATGCACCCGCAAATGGATAGAACAGCTTTAACACCAGTTACATGATTATGCAGACACACTTGAAACCATAACTTTTACAGAGTTATAGATTTTCAAAACTATATCGCATACCCAGTAGTACCAAGGGGGTTTAAACAATAATTTATAGGACTATACTAAATAACATATAAATAGGTACATTAAACAAGTGGAAAAGGATCTATACTAAATAAATTTGGAATTTAGAACCAATATAAATCATTAAAAAGCAGTATTTCATAAAAACAAAAAAAAATTATCACATCATTTTACATAAAATTCTATATATAAAATTATTAAACAACTTTTTAATCTATTTTTTTCTTTTTAAGTGGAGCTGGCTAAAATGCATTTTAAGATGACCTATAATACTGAATATCTACTAATAGTAATTTAATATTAAGAAACTGAATAGTTAATTTGCTTGTTTTTATGACAGAGTAAGGTAAAATAAACATGATTTTGGATATATTTAGGCACTTTTTTGTGTGTGTGTGTGTGTGTGTGTGTGTGTGTGTGTGCTCATTGTCAAGACAAATATATTGCTTAACAAATAAAAGTTTTTGTAATAGTCATGAAAAATGCTTATAATTTATCAATTTTCATTTGAACATATTTAAAATGGAAAAAAAAGAAATCTTTGAATTTACATATTTTCCTTCAAAAAAATGTTAAAACCAAAAATATGTGAATTTTGGATTAATCTTAAACAGTCGTAGGTATGAAAGAGAACATTAAACAAAAAAAAAAAAGAAAAGAAAATCAATTGCAATATCACCGAACATTAATAAACTACTATAAAGATAAAACTCCTACCCTTTGAATATTAATTTATAAGCAAACAAGATTCCAATGATGTTTATAGAAATAAATAAGCATTATGCAAACGTTTAATGCAAGTGACTGGCTATCACTTAAAGAATTAACTGAAATAACTGTTAAATCTTCAGATGAAACTTGAATAGACCCGAAAATGCATGTTTCTTAAATGTTTACGATATTAGTATTTAGACAATGAAAATACATAGGAATGCGGTTCCTAAAATTTCCAATTAGGACCAAATATTGATATGTCAAATATTAACATGTATATTTCTAAAAGCTTGACATGACAAATGAATTAATAATTATCTGTGTGTCTATGTGTAATGAAGACAAAGTTTTCTCAATAATATTATGAATGAACATATTAAGAATTAACAAACATGTCTATAGAATGAACACATCCATGTTGACCAACTCACCTGCATGTGGCCAGGAATATCTCGCTGTGCACACAACACCTTACCATGGTGGCCACACCTGAGAAGGTAGTGGACCAGATTTGGCATACCACCTGGCCTCAGGCCAGGACCATACCACAATTGTTTTAGCTAAAACAGAAGAATAGGCACATCTCAAGTTGAAATGAGATACATGAGGGTCACTAAATAGGAACTCCCCAATGATGAAGGCAGGTAAAGGGCAAGGCCCAAGAAATGAATGGCTGCTATTTAAAGAATAAGATTTGTGAAATTAAACCATAAAATTTTGCAGGATTTTTTTCTATTTTGGAAAGAAAGTATAATGAAATCTATTTTCAATAGAGAATTAAATGGAATTTATTAATAATTCCAGATTATGACATTTTTATATTTTTTGGTTTTCAGGAAATAATTTGTACAAGGCCAAACAATGCTTAATCACTGAAATTCAGTTTTCTCACATTTTTTTTAAGGATTGGTTAAATTTTGTTTTAATATAAGTTTTAATCTATATGTATTTAACACCCCCCCCCACCAAAATATCTTTAAAATCCTAAAAAAAAA